TAAGACCTGGGTGGATATGTGAGTTAGATCACATGTTTAGACTTTAGAAACTCAGAAGCTGATCAAATATCGGGTTAAATATCGGTGGGGTGGCCGATGTCCGATATTCAGTTTTAAGGCCGATACAGGCCGATACCCATAGGGGGCAGATTATATCGTGTATCCCTAGTCATAATGCCTGTTTAGAGGAGTTTAGGTTAAACACGGCGGTGGTAGCCTGATGCTGTGGGGTCGTTTTGCTGCCAGGTAATATGACAGAATGCTAAAGAGACCAAACTACTTCCAAAATCAAATCAACTGGATGACAGTAGCCCAGACTAAGCTTGGGCATTTATCATATTTTTTATCCTTAAAGGTTTCCATTCATGGTTATAATTTTGATCTATTGCGTAAACCATAAATAAGACAACAAAGATGATTAAAAACTCTGGAAACCGGGTGAATTCTAAGAATATTTGTGTTCGACGTGTTATTTAATTAATTTAATTGTCATTGCACCCTACTTTCCTTTTCATAAGTGGCTACTCCACTTACCAGGCCGGCATTGTAAATAAGAACTTGTTCTTAATGCCTTGCCTATAAAAATAAAAGTATAAAAAAAAAAAAATAGAATATCATCAAAAATATGTCAGCATTATATTGTCATTACACACTCTCTGCACATAACGCATCCCCTTGGGGAGCAGTGGGCTGCCATCGCGCGGCGTCCGGGGAGCAGTGTGGGGTTAAGGTTAAATTTGACTGTATGATCTGGTTGAACTGTAAAGTGCCTTGAGATGACATGTGTTGTGAATTTGGCGCTATATAAATAAACTGAATTGAATTAAGGCTCATTTATACTCAGAAACCAGGTCGTCTGCATGTGTGTCACAGTTGATGCAGAGACGCCCCCACCACTTCCGCAGACACTCTGCTGCAATTCTCCAAAATTGTAGGTGGTACCTTACCGGCTTGTTTTGTTTGTATGACCACCATTGTGGAAAACGACTCATGAAGATGGACCAGCTAGAAGAGCGAGGTGCGCAAGAACGCTGGGATCCTTTTTCCACCTTGATCCCCGCTCTGTTTCGCCCTCATGTCCCTCTGTTGTCGCACAAACTTGTCCCCACTTCCTCACCGCCTCGGCCGTATCTAGACCCACAGCTAGTTCTTTGATTGTCCCTCTTGCGTTGTGGCGCAGACCACGCTTCAAAATGGGGCATAAATCAAAAGTATCTGCAACAAGCTCACTGCGACACACTGCTGCGGGAGGATAACCAGCCCTTACTTCCAAAATCAAAGCAACCAGATGACGATGGTCCAGACTAGGCTTGGGCATTTATCGTATCGTTTAACGTTAAAGGTTTCCATTCATGGTAAGGATTTTGATCTATTGCATAAACCATAAATTAAACAATGATGATTAAAAGCCCCGGAAACTGGGTCAATTCTTAGAACTTTTTATGTTCCATCTTTAATAATTTTTTCCATTCGGTCATTGACAAATTTAGAGAATATCATTAAAAGTTACTACCTGTATTTTTTTTTTCCCAGCGATTTATTATCATTCCACTGTCACAAGAACAGAGCAACGGAATTCGCTCCGTGCATTAACCCATCCCCTTGGGAGCAGCGAGCTGCCATCGTGCGGCGCCCAGGGAGCAGTGTGGGGTTAAGGGTTTTTGCTAGGGGACCCAGAGTGGCAGTCTGTGGGAGTGGGTTTCGAACTCCCAACCTCAGGAAGTTCTATGCTCTAAGCAAAAGGCCACCACCCCCCACACACTATGAGTTGCTTAGCTTTAAACTCATACTTCTTCACGGGACTCTTGTATTCTGCAGAATCTTAATGTATATATTCTTATTTGTGCTTGTGATGCTATGTTGGCTATGCTAAGTAATCACAGCCATTGAGTTACCTGAGAAAGACAGCAAAGGAAAGTTATGATATCACCCATTATGTAGTTCACATCAGCCAGCTCTATTCCAGAGACACATTTAAACTGTTTTATTGATTTGTTCAGTCATGAACTCAAATGATCACGTTTATCCTCAAGCAAACAGTGGAACAAAATCTACAACTTCCTTGAGAATGGAGCTAAACTCTAAAGCCTGAAGCCACAGCTGAAAAATATGCATCTATATTTAGAATTTAGCTTCTGAAATAACAGATCTAGTCAAACAGGTAACAGGCCCCGACGACGTTTCTCCGCTTTACTGCATTTTTGGTTTGAAAAAGCGATAAAATCTGGGGGACAAATTGTGATGGAGTAAGATTTGCCTACATTGCTCTTTCATTCCCTCTATTTTCAGGATAATTTGTGTGTCAGCAGAACGGTGTGGAAGAGATGGCGACAAAGCTTCAACCTCCAGCTCTACCATTCATCTTCCTCCCACTCCATTAATCTTGCCAGGGGGGGAGCTAATAGCTCTCTAAATATAGGCAGGCCAGCTGTGCCAGAGGTGACAGGCAGGCAGCAGGGTGTGCAAAGAGCCACAAAGTCCCAAGGCTTTTGCCTGAGAAGAGGAGGCAATGGTTTATCACCATCATCATCATCATCAGCTTTTCCAGCCCAGCTGCTTATAAATATGAGCTGGCACTGCTTGAAACAACCGTAGCACGTAGCCTCAGCTGACATCATAAACAGCCTAAATGCAGACAAAGACATTTAAGATCTTCTCAGGCAACAGAGAGCGGCCATATTCCATCTGTTGTTTTGCATCCCTTGCAGGAAGCGAGCCAGAAAACATTTGCTCGTTGATCACTGCATCCACCTGTCAGCCCACCCAGCGACGCACAAACTCCCGCATCATGCCACAAAAACAAATAAAAACAAGCTCTAAACTAAAAAGAAAAAAATCTGGCCTCACTTCCCGCCCAATCAGTCCAACCTGCTTCGAATGACGCCGTGGTCATAATGTTATGCCTAATGAGTGAACTGTCAATGTCCTGATAGCGAGTTACGGCATGAAGATAGTGGACAATAATCTAATTCATTCGCTCCCCTCAAACAACATGAATTATTACAGCATTAGCATCAGGTTACAGATGCTCTATTGGCAACAACAAACCGTACGCACAACAAATCTGCTCTTAATGACTTCAGCAAATCATTTTAATGTGCCCAGCGAGCATTCTCTGCTGCTTTCAACAGCAGTATCCTCCAATATATTACTGCCACGCGGAGCTCGAACTTCTGAATTACTAATTAATGTTCAGCCCTGCCAAAGCAGTTGTTTTATGATCCTACCTTTTGATTGAAGTGGTAAAAAAAAATAATTTGTTATTCAAATTGGCTTCCTAACAGCGGTCGGTGAGCTCCCACATGAGGAATCCCACAGAAACGGTTTTCATTCAGGAGAGTTTTAAAAGCAGCTCACTTCATTCCATCCTCCTTGTCCTCCGCTTCATTTTTCTCCTCATCTCTCTCCCCCTCCTTCTCTTTCTCCTCCTTCTCCTTGTCCTCCTGGCTGTTCCGGGTCACTTGTTGCTGCTGCTGCTGCTGCTGCTGTTGCTGCTGCTGTTGTTGCTGCTGCTGCTGCTGCTGTTGTTGCTGTAATTAAACGAGCAGGAACAATAAACATTGGAGTGAGTCGGTGAATTTCACATCTTTAGAACGTTTCATGACTGAGTGATAATGAGATTTGTATCAATTTTAGCTAAATTATGTGAAAAGCTTTGGATTATTATTTAAACTGGAGCTTTCAGAGTAAAAATATTTTTGCTTTTGATGGAAAAATCACTTTTGACCATTAGATCGTAATGACTTGAAACAATTACCGTATTTTTTGGACTATAAGTCACACTTTTTTCATGGTTTGGCTGGCCATTGGACTTTAAAATTTGCCTGTTTATTCTTTCAAGATAAACTATATTGTTCATCTATAGTGTTGTGGTCTTGATGTCATATAGTGGTCTGAATGATTATCACTGCTTCTCAGATGCTCGTTCATGAAATAAAACAATGCAGTCTTTGAGTAGTAGCCTGCCATGCAGCAGTTATCAGAACACAGATTCCATGCATAGAATAATCTTTCAAAAAGGTGGGACTTTTAGTCCGGTGCGACGTAAATATGTTTTTCCGTCTTCATAATGCGTTTTTTGGCTCCGGAGCAACGTGTAGTCCAAAAAATACGGTATTGGACGCTGCCGCTTTTTACAGTTGCCTTTTGTATCTCTGCTTCTGTCGCGGCAGATGGCCGCTCAGACTGAGCCTGGTTCTGCTGGACGCTTCTTCCTGTTAAAAGGGAGTTTTTCCTCTCCACTGTCGCTACAAGCATGGTTAGTGTGAGGGATTGCAGATGAGTCGATGCAATCAACTGGTTTTCCTTATATAGAAACTTTGAATCAATTTGACTGGATGATCTGGTGAACTGTAAAGTGCCTTCAGATGACATATGTTGTGAATTGGCGCTATAGAAATAAACTGAATTGAATAGAAATGAATCTACTTTTGAAGCTATTTTTGCCCTGATGAGACCATCACTCATAAACAGAAATAATATGGACTAATCAGACTACGTGACCTTACATGATATTAATGCAACGTAATAAACTGAAGCCTTTCCTTGATTAGTCCCGCTGCTAACAGGTTTTCTTAACGAATCTGTAAAACCAGCACCTTGAACCATCCTCCATCACTGGAAGATCTTCTGCTAATTCCAGATTTTCCATCAACCATATCTCTTTAAAGATGAGCAAACTTAAAGGCACATCAACGTTTAAGGTGATAGTTTTTTTCCAAACACTCCATTGCTCAGTGAAGATCAAATGATTTACCTTTACACGTCATAAACTCTTGTCAACTGTTATTAAGAGGTGATAACTTCCCATGAGTCATTTTTAAGTTTTATCTGATATGGTGAATCTTAGTTTCACTTTGATTCACACATTAAAAAATCCACTAACCTTTAGAAAAAAAAAAAAAAATCTACAAATTGTCACAAGATGTTAAACAAAACAGGATATGAAAGTTCCGAAATTATAGCGGAGCATTTCTGCTGTATAACTGCACCCAGAACCACTTCCTTTCCAGCTTCCTGCCCGTCTGGGCTATCAGGGTTAGAGTTCATGCTACTACAGCCACACAGTTAGACCAAAAACTTTCAACAGAACTTTAAAGTACATTCACATTTTTCAAACCTTCTACTTTAATTGCTATTTTAGCATTAGCTGCTTCTTCTAATCAAAGAAATAGAAATTCACTGTAACCCTGTAAAGACAAGACATAATTCAAAGCTCCATCTTGGTAAGGGAACATCAAGCCTTGAAGGAGGGCAAATCCGTCACATGGTCTCCTAACTCCATCAACCACAAAGAGAAACATGAACCCGCATATAATCTCCCCAGGGTTGATGTGGTGACATATCATGAAGAAGGACAAACTTTTCAGACCCCATCTTTGTAGAATGTAAAGCGACGCACTTTCACTTCCTCCGCTGTAGGTGTTCGGTTCTGTCCCTGCGAGCTCACGCTGTGAGCCGCTGCACTAAACAGGTGGAGCGAACCTCCAAGTTATGAGCAGGGCTCATTAAGAGAGACCAGGAGACATCGCATGATCAGGAAGTGGGTCATTTCACTAGCCCCTCCCAAAGTTTAGATCTGATGGACTGAGAAGACGCATAACAAATTCAGTTTTAAATTAAAAAAAAATTTATTGGCTCAACTGACTGATTTTTAACACATGTACAATTTTTTTATAAAACATGTAGAAGATCTCACACTTAAATAAATTTTTACCATCTAACTGTTCACGTTGGGTTGCTATGGTAGGTGAATGAGCCATAGCAAACTGCTAATGTTGCCTATGTCACAAACACACAAATCAAATTCCCCATTTACACTACCCTTGAAAAACCGATCCATGCCGAGACCGGTCCGAGTTCGGATCAGTTAACCAGGCCGAGCTCGGTTCTGACGACCGTTTACACATCACGCTATCTCGGTTCCTCGACTCCTCGCCTCCTAGTGACGATCTGCGGTATTACTGCCAGTATTAAGGGAGGAAATCAAGCAGTTGGTGGCAGTAATGCACCTAAAGTTGTTTGTCAACCGCCATAAAACACAAGAAGAAGAAGAAGACGAAGAAGAAGGAGGGAATCAAGCAAATCAAAATGGCGGCGCACATCACATTCAGAAAGTTATGCTTCATTATTATTGCTGTACTTCGGTGTCATTATTTAAAATGTTGCGTGGAGAAGATTTCGATTGTTGTTTATAGTTGAAGAAGAAGCTGTTCTTCTTCTGTTTCCGGGGGGGCATTACCGCCAACTACTGGAATGGAGTGTGAATCGGGGCGTGCAGCCAGACGGAGATGACACGTTCTGCTCATGCGCTCTTGTTATCAGAGAACCGAGCCAGGGAAAAACCGAGCCGAGCCCACCTCTGGAACTGGTCTGCAGTTATCTTGGTCCGGTTGTGTCTAGCTCGGTTCGGTTCAGTTTGCTTTCCATTTACACACGATAAGTTATCTCAGTTACTGAGTCGGACCGGTCTCAACACGGTTTTTCAAGGGTAGTGTAAATGGGGTAAAATTCTTATGTAGGCCCTTATGAGGAAAAATAATGTAAAGGGTTTGAATGAGCTCCAATTAGTTTATATCCTCCAAAAGAACATTAAACATTTATTTGAAGACAGTTTCATGAGGATAGTTTATGTAAAATGCAGAGTTATAACTCCTATGCATTTTATTGGGACCCTGCGAGAACCATCTAAACAACGCAAAGGTGATGGAAAATGATTCAGCACCTTATTTCCTAATAGATTATATCCTAAAGTGTTTGTTTATTAAGGATTATATTTATAATATAATATCAGCTGTGCTGCTGCCATCAACACCTTTGTTTATAGATGTTGGAGATCGGCCTGTTTTTTCAGTGTAGTCCTGTTTCTCTGACTGTGACTGGGACTTAAACGAGAAGGAACAATAAACATTTGAGTGAGTCGGTGAATTTCACATCTTTAGAACGCTTCATGACTGAGTGATAATGAGATTTGTATCAATTTTAGCTAAATTATGTGAAAAGCTTTGGATTATTATTTAAACTGGAGCTTTCAGAGTAAAAATATTTTTGCTTTTGATGGAAAAATCACTTTTGGCCATTACATCGTAATGACTTGAAACAATTTCCGTATTTTTCTGACTATAAGTCGCACTTTTTTCATGGTTTGGCTGGCCGTGCGACTTGTACTCTGGTGCGTTGCAAATTAGCATTGCAAAAATGACAATGTTTAGAGTTTTTAAAATGGGCCTGTTTATTCTTTCAAGATAAACTATATTGTTCATCTATAGTGTTGTGGTCTTGATATGATATAGTGGTCTGAATGATTATCACTGCTTCTCAGATGCTCGTTCATGAAATAAAACAATACAGTCTTTGAGTAGTAGCCTACCATGCAGCAGTTATCAGAAAACGGATCCCATGCATAGAATAACCTTTCAAAAAAGGTGGGACTTTTAAACCGGTGCGACGTAAATATGTTTTTTTCGTCTTCAGAATGCGTTTTTTGGCTCCGGAGCGATGTATAGTCCGATAAATACGGTATTGGACGCTGCCGCCTTTTACAGTTGCCTTTTGTATCTCTGCTTCTGTCGCGGCAGATGGCCGCTCACCCTGAGCCTGGTTCTGCTGGACGTTTCTTCCTCTTAAAAGGGAGTTTTTCCTCTCCACTGTTGCTACAAGCATGCTTAGAGTGACGGATTGCAGAAGAGTCAATGAATCAAAGCAATCAACTGGTTTTTCTTAGATAGAAAAGTTTTCAATCAATTTGACTTGATGATCTGGTGAACTGTAAAGTGCCTTGAGACAACATGTTGCGAATTGGCGCTATAGAAATAAACTGAATTGCAACTAAATTGAATTTAGGGGCATCAGAGTAAAGGGTGGCTGAGAACAAAAGTTATTTTTCTTCTAGGATTATTTTTCTGCCATCCATCCTCTGATCAACTTTGACCAAACCTCTGAATGTTTCTGCAAAGAAAAGCTGCCTTGACACCCTGAAGCTAAAACATTGGAGCAGCTAAAGATTAGCTGCAATACGGGGTTCAATAAAGTTTTTTTGAGGGGAAATATTTTTTTCCTCCAATATACAACTATGCATGACACTATGTTGGTCTATCACATAGAAATCCTGATAAAAGACACTGATAGTTCATGTTGCAAAGCGCTGAAGCTCAATACATAACGTTTACATTTTTCATCATGTTCTAAACGGCTGGATGTGATTGAAAGTACGTTTTTCAGCCCGACATCCAAAACTGATCCTAATCTTTGCTCCAACTCCCTTAAAACGTTCAAATCAAAACATTTATGGCAGGAAATCATTTTTCACGCTCTTCCTCTGCAGACATACATCTAGCTTTCAGTCTATAGAAAAAAAAGAGGAACATAAACGCTGCTAGATCTTAGAAAATGTGTTTAAGAATTGAGAGTAACCAGAACTGCAATAAGCTAGTAGCTGCTTAGCTTTTAGCTCACCAGCTGTAGTGGTACGCAGACCCTAAAGTAAACATGACCACACTCCTCAGGCTGAACTTTCAACAGTAAAATATTACCAGGGATCTCCCTCGGCGCCGGTTCCTTCGCACTATGTTCTTGTAGTTTTCATTCTTTTTGGTCAGGTAGTAAAAGAGCACACACTCTGCCACCGTCTGAAATGCAAATGTAAGATGACATTTCACTTCCTCTGAGCACAAACTTACTGTAAAACAACAACGGAAGAAAAGGGCCAAAAAAAAAAGAAGAAGAATCATACCTTTCTCTCTAGAAATGAAGCTATCAGGCCAAAGTTTTTAGGATGCTGGATGAACCTTTAAGAGGGGAAAAAAAAGCTGATCAGAGAAAAATGACTGAGTTTTGTAAATGATTAGACATTTAAATCATCTTAGATGCAGCGGGAAACACCCCAGCTGACATGCGCTGGTCACAGCGAGTGTTTGTTTGGGGTGAGTGTGACCTGAAGAGGAAACTAAAGCTCTTTGTGTGGGTAACTTAAAAGTCACCAGTTTTACTGTGTGGTCCTGATTTGATTTGCAGCTCCAAACCTCCTCTCAGTTCTCACGAAAGGGGAAGATTCACTTCCTTAGCAAAAAAGAAACAACTCACTGACCCTTTATCAGCTACTCAGATATCACAGGGAATAACACTTTAAATTTTGTGGCTTAAGGTCAGCTGCCAAGCTGTGTAAGGAGCATAACGAGACTCGTGTGGCATTTCCACAGTTTGACCAGTAATCAGAATTTAGAAGAAAAAGCCTGCTTTGCTCACTTCTCCCGGAAAGTGTCCCTCTCCTGCTCGCTCCACATGTTCATAACCTGCCGGTCCTTGTAAACCTTCATTGGGTCGTCCATCAGTCCGTTCATGTTGATGAACTTGATGCGCTGCTGCTCAGCGTCGAACAGCATAGGAGGGATGACCGCCAGCTGACGCATTTGCTTCTCTGTGTTCTGCACGTGGATGAGACGAGAAAGAGAAAGCAAAAATCCTCAAGTCAACAGACTGGTCCTAAAAGAGAAACGAATTCTGTTTACAAAGACATGTTTGAAAACGAATGCATCCATGGGAGAGGAGCGCTGTTATCTATTCTAGCTTTAGAACAACATCCCTCTAGGAGATCAAGACTGGCTGCCTTTGAATTGCTCTTAATTCACAAAGAGAGCCTTGTGATTGTTGTCCAAAACTTTTTTTTTTTGGCACAATGTGGTTAAACCTTTAAATAAAAGTGTTTTTTTGTGTAGCCATGACTTAATATTGCACAGTTTAATTTGATGGAGTTAAAAACAAGCCTCTCCCTGCTTTACTTTGCTGACTAAGTAGGTTATGAAATGCACTGTGATCGATATCGATGCTTTGGAGGAACATTACAGTGACGCCTCGCTTAGGTCCAATTGGCCGCATAAAATTCCTCCAACATTTTTTAAATCTGAAACCTTCAGATATGTTAAAGCTCTTTACATCAACGGCATTTTCTCTCAGGACTGAATCATGACAACATTTGCAAATCTGAGTTGCCAAACTCTTTCCGTTTCAAATTCCCCAGTTCTGCCAGACACAGTTTTATGTTCTTGTTTTTTTTTTTTCTTGAGATTTTGAACACATGCACACATATCTGCAGTTAAACTCAAAATTATTCACACCACTGGCAAATCTAAGTTAACAGCCATCTTTAATAAACTTGTTTTTTTTTTTTACGGATGGTAGTAATATTAACGTTTTGGATTGGTCCACATCGGAACTAATGATTGGGGTGATGGAAAGGAGGCCTTCCAACCTTTAACCCTTGAACAAATCAAAGATACATTTTCTAAATAGTAGTGGAAACATGCAAAAGGCTGGTCGGCAACAAGGATTGTTTTAATGTAAATAAAAACCCTTTTTATTTATTTTATTTATACCAGGCTTTATAAATAGTAAATAAAAATCTGAAGATTAAGAGTTAAAGTCCATGTATTCATAAAATAATTCATCTATTAATGTAGCCACTGAAATCAGGTTATTTTACTTTATTCTTGTGTTTTATTTTTAATAAAAAAAAAAAAAAAAACAAGTTACCTGGTTTAATAACGATAAAGAAATTGTAAGGATCTATCAATCAAAGTGCTGTGCAGGCAGATAAAACTGACGTGTTATAATTTAAAGTTAAAAGAAGATAATGAGCTGTTGTAGGTTCCAGATCTGCTCAGGGTCCCGCCCCTTCTTATGACGTCAACATATGGCAACTCCACTCAGACGAACTGTATTGCACCCGTAGCCGAAAGAAGAAAACAAATTATTCTCAGTCTTGAAGAAAATCACTGTGTTCTAAGACAGACTGAGCTCTGCCATTTAACAAGGTTACAAAACAAGTCTCAGCTTATTTTTATTCTTTTTATTAAGATCTGAGGACAGGAAGGACAAATGGAACATCTCAAAAATAACTTTCATAGAGATTTTAGACAAAAAAGTTAGTTTTCTTATAGAAAGCTAACGGTTTAATTTTAAAAGTAGTGTAGCTTAATATGGCTAACTGACCAAGCTGAAAGAGGCTAACCTGTTAGCTACTGAGCACAGCTAGCCACAGTGCTACCCAGCGCTCCCCCTTTATATCATGGTCTAACAGTTACTTTGTTCACCATGAACAGATTTTTTCTGTTGTTTTTTTATAGACAAGGTAAAACTTCATCGGTCATTGGACACGCTTACGCTACAGATGCTCCCGACTCGGCGCCGCGTGATGTTTTTATCTTTGTCTGGGCAACCACCAAGTTTCACATCATGTGGCAATGTTCAGCCAATCATGTAGAGTAACATCAATTGCATGCGCACGGCCGGAGCAGATCTGTTAGCTACACCGTCAAAATATTCATAAGCACCGCCTCCCTACAAGTTCTGTCCCTACAATCTGATTGGGTCCCGGTTTCTAGAGGGACAAAGTGATTAGACGAATCCCACAACAAAACTCTCCTGGTTCCTGAAGAAAATTCTTCTGGAGACTCAAAGAAAACTTTTGGTTATTTGGTTTAACACCTTAATTATGTAATACTTTTATACCAATAGGAAGTTTAAGAGCCTTTTAGAGTTAAATCTATTCATTTGCAAAAAATTTATTAATTTTTAACCGAACCATCCATCCATTTTCTGTCATGCTTATCGCTGCTGGGGTTGTGAGAGGTGCTGGTCCCTATCTCCAGCTGTCTACGGGCGAGAGGCGGGGTACACCCTGGACAGGTTGCCAGTCCATCTCAGGGCAACACAGAGACAAACAGGACAAACAACCATTCACACACACTCACACCCAAGGAGAATTTAGAGAAACTAATTAACCTAACAGTCATGTTTTTGGACTGTGGGAGGAAGCCGGAGTACCCTGAGAGAACCCATGCATGCTCAGGGAGAACATAACTCGATGCAGAAAGTCCCCGGGCAGGGAATCGAACTCCAAAACTTCTTGCTGAAAGGTAGCAGTGCTACTCACTGCTCCAATGTGCAGCCGTTTTTAACCAACCACTATTAAATAATCATTAAATGAGTATACAGACTATAAATTATAACATTAATACTCTGAGAATTGACTCTTGAGTCAAAGCTGTATAAATATATGTATATATAACTTGTTGCTTTAAGAAAAGAACCTTTGTGAATATACTCCCTCAAGAACTCCTTAAGGGGCATGGTTTTTATTTTTTTATACATTTATGCCATTTATAATGCACCCAAAATGACCATTTTTCCTTAATTCAAACACTTGCTTATTGAGGAACATTTATTTAAAAAGGAAAACAATATTTGTTCTATGAATCTATTACTGATGAAATCAAAGCTGCTGGCGTGGAACCTTTACAGCTGGACAGTCTTTGGTGTCCAAAACTTGGAAACTTTAAAACTAAGATAAGTTAGGTCTTTGACAGAGAGGACAGAATCCAAAACTGCACCTAATTCCAGCCCCTTATATTGATCTGGAATGCCTGAGCATATTTCCAAAGACGGAAAAGGCAGGTTAGCATTCAGAACAAAGCTTACCTGGAATTTTCCTACTGTTGCAGACTTGCAGGTCACCCAAAGAGTTGCCAAAGGGCAATTTGGGGAGGGGGGGGACCGACCAATTTTAACAGAAAGGGCTCACCTCATGCTCTGATATCCCATCAATGATTTCGGAGACTTCGTGTTCGCTTCGGGCTGCAGATGAGGTCAGTCCGCCTCCTCGCTGCCCGACACGGCTGCGGACGCAGAGAGACAAAGTTTATCCCAGCCATCCTCTAAAACGGAGCTGGTTTCAAAGCACATCCGGTCTGCTGTGTTCATCCCACCTCTGCATCCGTTCCTGCATCTCCCTCTGCTTGCGGATCTCTGGGAACTGTTTCTCGTAGTACTCCCGCACCTTGCTCTCCTTAGCCCGGCGCCGCGGGTTGTTTTCAATGCGCTCCACCTTCTTCTCCCAGGCCTCCATCAGCTGGTCATAGCGCTGGCAAAACTTCTGCTCCTGGGAGTTCAGAGAAAGAAAAGGATCTCTGCAGAACTGTAGCATTTCTTTTGAATGAAACATGCAGGACTGAGGGGTCATTAAATCTGGAGTGCAATAACTGATTGCACTCCAGATTTAATGATTTTGACATGCCAAATGTTCTATGCAGAGACATGATTTGGAGCTCTAGCAGACGGCAAGGCGTAGCTTTTCTTCCTCCATGAAGCAACCTATTAACCCTGGTGGAGACCAGACCCTCAGCGGGCTTGTTAAACTACAGGGCGATATCTCTGCATGCGAGACTACCTCCCCCACTTAGACACACTGTGAGGGAAGATACATGAGGCAGACACCAACATGTCACAGAGTTTGATTCTTTCTCGCTTCCAATACGAGTTAGCAGATATGCAAATTTGACAGAACAGCCTGATTCACAAAAATCTTTTTACTTTGGCTTTTGTTTCCACAAACACTGCCAGGAAAAAAAAACAGAAAAACAACAAATGCACCACATGGTCACTGCAGTGTTTGGCAGAAAGAATGAATCCAGAAGACATCAAACTATTTCAGCCGCAGAAATCTTTTCTACTTGTTTTCTGCAGCTGTGGTTTCCCCCGCGGCTTAAAGCAAACACAGACAACAGATCACCAACAGAGCCTCATTTTCCCTCCTTGGCAGGTCTAAAATGGCCACTCGCTTCGAGGAGCAGCTGGCCCCGTTTCACACTAGTCATCTCTCACTGGCTGAGTCACACCAGGAGTTTTCTACTTACCCACTGCTTACGAGCGTGATTTCTCCTTTTGAAATACAGGATGAGCTTCTTCCTCATGGCGTGGTTTCTGCATTGATAAAGCAAGAAAAACAGGAATAAACCACCATGAAGAAGTTTATCGGACATCCAGTGGTTGGACTGCCATTATGTCAATCACAGGAGAATGCAGTTTTGGAGTTTTTTTTTTTTTTTTTTAAGTCTTGGTTGATTTTGTATTTAGCCACTTTTACTATGATGCCTCTCAGTAATTAACCAATACAAAATGCACAGTTTTGGTCTAATTTAACTCAATTCAGTTTACTTCTATAGCGCCAATTCACATCACATGTCATCTCAAGGCACGTTACAGCTCACCAGATCATCCAGTCAAAATGATTCAAAGTTTTCTATCTAAGGAAAACCAGTTAATTGCATCGACTCATTGACTCAAAGGCAATCTCTCACACTAAGCATGCTTGTAGCGACAGTAGAGAGGAAAAACTCCCTTTTAACAGGAAGAAACCTCCAGCAGAACCAGGCTCAGTGTGAGCGGCCATCTGCTGAGGACGACTGGGGTTCAAGGAGACAGAAGCAGAGATGCAAAAGTCAACTATAAAAGGCGGCCCAGTCCAGGAAACACACAGCCAGACAGACGAGCTCCGAGCCAACTCCCATGTCAGAGGATAAAGAGAGCACATCCAGTTAGTCACAGTCAGAGAAACAGGACTACACTGGAAAACAGGTTGATCTCCAGCATCTATAAAAAAATGTAAGTCCCTCTGAAAGCACTGACTGAAAAAGAAAATGCACAAATCTATATAAAATTGGGAAGTTCAAAGCATATATTTCTCAAATGTAATGTGTGTGTGTTTCCAAGACAGGGGCGCCTTTTACAGTTGCTTTTTGCATCTCTGCTTCTGTCTCCTTGAACCCCAGTCGGCCTCAGCAGATGGCCGCTCACACTGAGCCTGGTTCTGCTGGAGGTTTCTTCCTGTTAAAAGGGAGTTTTTCCTCTCCACTGTCGCTACAAGCATGCTTAGTGTGAGGGATTGCAGATGAGTCAATGAGTCGATGCAATCAACTGGTTTTCCTCAGATAGAAAACTTTAAATCAATTTGGCTATGATCTGGTGAACTGTAAAGATGACGTGTTGTGAATTGGCGCTATAGAAATAAACTGAATTAAATTAAAGTTGTAGAAGTTTTTAAAATTTTGTTGTCATTCAGAGGCCTTCATTTCATTTACATACATATATGTGTTTTGGCATTATTACCCAGCCCTAGATGATACTAAGCACAAATTTAGAAGACTGAGAAAGACTCAAAGTGGCTATAAATATAGATCTAGAGTTACAGCAGCTTGTTTAGGTCAGGGTTTCCTAACCCTGGTCTTCAGGGACCACTGACCAACATGTTTTACGTGTTTCCCTGCCTCTTAGCACCTGACCTGAGTAGAAAAGTGATCAAAGGTTTTTGCAACATTTCATGGCTGCTGAGGAGGTAATGCAAATATTTGAATCAGGCGTGGTAGAGCAGAGACCGATCTAAAACATGAAGGGCAGTGGACCCCGAGCAACAGGGTTAAACGCTAGTTTAGATCAAAACAAGTGTTAAAACGAACCAGTCAAAAACAATTAGGCCATTTTGCAAAGAATGAGGAAAAGTAGGATAAAGAGATGTAACGTGGGTAGAGATACAGCCTGAGAATAATCTTACTCTTGTAATTATAAGTGATCAAATAGAAATTAATATCAATACAAATGATGTGTTTAAATCTGTATACTCATATACACAAACAGACAGATATAAATAAGTATAGTTGGTCCAATTCAGAACAAAAGTGGACAAGAATCAAATACAAGTTTTTATAATTGCTTTCATTTCATTTAAGCCTTTTGATTAGAAATTACTTAAACAAATTGGACAGGTCATAACTTATCTGATTTTCATATACAATCTATGATTACATTTGTTTCTGACTGATGTTGGATTTTGCACAGAAAACGCCAATGAAGCCATTTCCATGTTCTGGTTTTTCCCTGAAAAAATGGAAACAGGCTTGGTTTATTTTCTACCCTTGAAACCTTCCCAACCCCCTTCTTTACAGACTGAATAGTAAATAAGAAAACCTTATATTACACCTTCACATAAACGGGGGGAAAAAATGCCTGTCTTTTGAGTGCAGACGCTCGATAAACTCAATCTTGCTTCTGGGCGGAAGGGATAGCAAAGGGAGCCAAACTTTTAAAACTCGTCTGTGTTGGGAACAGCCAGACCCACAGCTTCAAATAAAGGTCAAGGCCAGTAATCTCCTTAGGCAGCTGCTCGGTTCATCTCTTTCTTTGCAGCAAGACAGAGTTTTATTCCTGACACTTAATCTGTCACTTGTAAGGTCATGCTCTCTACTGATTAATGTAATCTTAGTCTAAGTTAGACACTTCGGCTGAGCCGGTGGTTCCCTCTGGACGGAGGCAAGGACACGCCGCTAAAACAGCCGTTATCTAGAGGTTGGTAAGAGAACTGACAAATAATATAGCATTAATGCACTGGAAAAACAATCTAAAAATAACAAACTTCTTAAATTAAGTGTATTTATTCTTAATTTTAGTAGGTAAATTAG